CAGCACCCAGCAAGGCTTCAATTCCCAAGCCCAAACCCCCTCGGATTAGGCACAATCCTACGTACAGACAGATTGCAGAGCACAATCTGTACGTAAACGGAGACACGTTCTGTGCCAGCAGAAGAGGAGCTGCTTTTTGCTTTTTTTGTAGTATGATTTTATTAGCCAGCTCCTCCAAGCACTGCTACAGAGATGCAGATACCAACCGTGGCACAAGGCTCATTTTTGTTACCTCTCCTTCCCTGGCCTCTTAGGAGCACTTCAGGGATTCCCCAGGGGCCTAGATCCCAATGGGAAATGTCTCTATCTCTATTTTTATTCCCGAGTAGTTAAAAAGGCAGGACAGAGGGTGGATAGCAACGAAGCCATTTCGATGACTCACTCCTCTTTTCTTGTATGTATATTGCTACAATAAATCCTTTACGTACGGTTTTTGCAGATGCTACCTAAGTTAATAAACAGAGACGGTTAAAGCAAGTTGGTCCTTCTCTTTCTGGGCAAGAGGTACGTTTATCACCTTGACTTGCACGCACAGCAGCCACTTACTCCACTGCTGTGCAAGTCACTACCCTACAACAGCATGCCACTGGCACGCTCTCGCTCCCCGGGAATTTGGGACGTGCGCCTGAATACTTGACACAAGAACTCTCCTGGAACGCGAAACTATCGGTTTCTTGAGACCGAACTGCAGTTCAGCTGAACATCAGTGAAATTCGGCTTTACAAAACTGGGGCATGATCTTTAACAACTTCATTTCACAGAAAGGTCACCAACTTCATCAGTATATCTTGGGCAACTAGGCTAGATGAGCATTACAAGCAGAGAGAAGAGTCCATCTGTCATCAGTGGAGACAAAGCCTTCCAGGCTTAAATACACATCGAGTACAATATACCAAACGAGTGCAGTCAAACAAAGCATCTTCACACAGGCATGCACAGAAATAATAACAGGGCTTTCGCCTAGTACAAACAGTCAAAATACTTTGGGAATTCTGCAATCCACACTGATGAATTTTGGCACCTGAAGTACCTCGTTGCATTCACTATCATATTTCTTGGAACAGGAGAATAAGGAGTTAATAAAGGCAAACTTGGGTCTCTCGAGGCCCAAACAGGATAATTCATCATGCCTTTTACTGATCTTAAAAAAAAAAAAAAAACAGTTATACTGAATCAGAAAGATTCAGACACACCCACAGTTCAGTTAGCATTGATCAATTTTACCCACGCTCATTTGCACCAAATAAAATACAGCTCCAAACGTGAAGATTGTTCAAGATCACTTCAAACAGATTACACTGAGCCCCAAACGTTGCTGCGTTAAATCTAACAGTCTGCTGGGAGATGCTGGGAATGCCTGAAGGAGCTGCACTGATGCTGCACGTACCTCCGTTAGAAAGGAGCAGATTTCAGACAAAGCAAGAAGTCTTCCCCACCCCGCCCCACGCTTTCCTTCCTCTTTCCCCACCGCTTCAGAAAACAAACATCGGTGGTTCAGGTTCCACATACCATGTGCATCGAAGAATTCGTCGTCTGAGCTGTCATCCGAGTCTCTGGCAATGCTCTGCATCCTCCACTCAGAGATGCTATGGCGTGAGGGACTTGCTGGAAAAAACAGAAAAGCCCTATGCGATACGCTAAATCGACAAGACAGAGAGTTCCCAACATGATCTTTGCTGGAGGAAGAGTCGTGTGTTCGCTATGAAAAATTCACTGCTGCAATATTAAAACATAAAACCCCGATGATGCTGGTGTGATGTCAGTGTACTGCTTTAGAGATTCTGTTTGTTTACTGTTGTTATAACCTGCCAGCAAGATGCTACATTAAAGCAAGCTGTTTGTATCACTCTTATGCTATTTTGAATGGCAGCTATTTATAATTGTTAGTAGGACGTGCAAAGTCAGCTGGGTTTTAAAGTTTGCAATTAGAAAGGAAGCAGGCTGATTGGAGGCTTTCTCTGCGCCTCTAATCAGCACACAAGCCATGCCTCAGCTTCACCAACTTTCGGGTGGGTAACTAAGCAGAGCAGCCTGGACAGAAATAATCTGTTTTCTGGAAGGAAATTGCTTCCACACAAATTGGATTAGAGATCTATTTAAACTTTAAACTTGAATGATTTAAACAACATGCTCTGCCCTGCTTTGTAGGGGAGCTGTCAGAGCAGCTGTCCTGATGGAGCAAGGAAAACGCCCAACAAAGCCCTTTGGTTCCTGCTTGCCTCCTCATCTCAGCCCTCCTTGCTCCCTCTCGTTTCCTGCTCCACAGTTCCCTGTGCCATATAAGTGTTTTACGGCATTAGTTTTTCCAGCTACAATTCAGCAGTGATCCAGCCTCAACTCTTCTTGGCTGAACTTGTCACAGGCAAACAGGCTGCTGCGGCCAACGCTGCCCAAGGACCAGCGAGAGAGGTGCTCTCTCCCCTCTTTGGGACTGCTGTCGCAGGCAGGAGCACACACAAAACGCTCACCGCAGCCACCTAACACGACAAAAACCCGAGGAGCCTGACAAATTCTCATTTAGCATATATAAAGGCACTGAGAGGCTCTGGTTACTATGATGGCTGTACAAGCCGCTTCATAGTAGTGCTGTAACAGTGTTAAGTATGTAAGGTCAAACGCTTCTAATTCTAATTTGGCATTGGCATGTTGTAAGACTACGGTGACCCTGCGCGGAGTCACCTAACTGCGGCTTTGCGTGGGCTCGGCAGCCCCCAGCCACCACCGCCCGCCCAAAAACGGCCCTGGGGAGCGGCGAGCGAGGGGGCTGGCGGAGCAGAGCTCCGGCACGCTGCAGTGACGTCAAGGCACTCGCATAATAGCTGCTAAAAATAGAGCATATAATAACATATGGGAGGGTGACAAGGGTCCTGTTATCACCAGAGGTCTCGCTCAGATGGTATAGAAAAGACCGAGCTCTTCTGGAGACGGGGCTGCTTTTCGCAATCGGCGGCAGCGGTCGGTCCAGGCAGCCCTCCTTGCTGCCATATGCTAATGTGCTGCCATTTCTTAAAGCCAGCACGAAGGAGGATTAAAATATCTGTGTGACGTACTTCCCAGCACATCACAATTCATTTCATTAGTTTTTTTCCTCTAAAAGCTGAGACAATCTGCAGTTTAAAAGAAACTCAGGCTTTGCTACAAGAGAAAACCTCCAAGTAAAATCCTGAAAGGTCGGAAAACCGCAGCTTCCAACGAACGCCTCAGTGCTGGAAGAGGGAGGTCACGGCAAAGAGCGTAACAAAGGATGGGCACGCCGCTATAAAATCCTAGAGCAAGCCAGGTAGTCAGCGCTTTCATATTTATGTAACGATTTATGAAGCGACTAGTAGGCTCTTCCCTGGGGCTCACTCCACTGAATCATCGCAAAGTAAAACCACTGTTCGCATCTCGTTCACCCTGGGATGAAATCAGTGATGGAGCGGTAAATAAAAAACGGCGAGTCAACTCGCAATTTTTTGTACGTATGAGGGATGGCTAAGCTTCACTCACCCGCATCTCCCTTCCACTGCCGCTGGAGGAAAGGATGTCCCTGGGGGTTTCCAGAAAAATCAAGATTTTGCCCTCTTGCTGTGAGAGTTATCAGCTGTGTTTGACAAAAAGGCGAAGGAGTTGCTGAGGGCTCAAGCCCTCTTTCCGCAGCTCTCTGAGAATTCAAACCCTTTCGTATAGAACAGCCCAAGGAAATAAGTTTAACACAGCACAAAAGCTGACTGACTAGGCAAAGGTGAAGGACAAAATTCAGGACTCAAAGCTCAGTCCTTAGAGAGTACCCACAGGGGCTTTAACAGCCAAACGCTCCTGGCTGAGTGGTATTTAGAAGGGAACATAAATGCCCCCCGAGGTCCCACGGAGCCTCGGCCTGCGAGGCATCGTGCCTGCAGAGCTGCAGTGCGTTGCCACCGGCGAAGGGCAGCAGCCCCCAGCCACGTCACCACCACCAGCAAAGGGCAGCAGCCCCCAGCCACGTCACCACCACCAGCGAAGGGCAGCAGCCCCCAGCCACGACCCC